ATAGGGCAGTTATGCCTCATCCTATAGGGTCTCTATGAGTTGGATTCTACTCAATGGCAGTGAGTTTGGTTTTTGTTTTGTTTTCTTGGCTTTTTACACTTTTGGGGAAACTGCCACAATCTATTATCAGTTTAACATCTGCACAAAGGCCATAAAAGCTTAACGACAAAAAATTGTCTGTCTCTGTGTGAAGGCAAGTGTTGAGCAGGGCCATGTTAGAACTTACTCTTCTTGGACTGGGGCTGGAATTACTTGGGAGCCTAGAAGCCATCTGCTTGTGACTGGGCTACGCTGCTCAGTTTCTGATCATGTTGTCAATCATGTTGCAATTCAATATAGAAAAATTTTACAAAACAATTTTGTTATTCGTATTCGATCCAAGAAATATTACATGCAATATTTACAATTATGTATATCATGTTACTCTCTGACTAACATGGATAATAAATATCTCTAAGGACTTTGAATGGTCTGGGCTGAGAGGACTGTGTGGGAATGCCATGAGCACAGGCTGACACCAAGCCCAGTGAGATCACAGCTGGAATGAAGAGAAATCGATACAGTGGGAAAGAAAATTGTGAGCGAGATGGGAACCAGAGACACACGACTACAGCAGGTAGCAGATGCTTCTTCACTTTGAGTAATGGAGTAGAGGTAGAGGTGGGCCATGGGTTTCAACCTGACCCTAGAGGAGACAAGGACAAATGCCCTAACTTCTGTTTTAGCAATAGCTGCACTGTTCTCTCTGGGCAGTTTGGAGTGGTGAGGGGGGCATAGGAAACGGCCAACGTGCTTTATTTTTTCACTCCAAAGCAAGGAAGAAACCCCAATTCAATATCTGTGTGTCTTTCACAGATGAAGTTGATGATGTTACAGAAAGCCAAATCTTATTAAGGTCATGGTATGATGAACACATTAAATGCAACTATCTCTACACAAATTTGTCCTAGGTCATTGGGCTACCAGAGAAGAAGAGGCTATTAGAAATATTCTAATTCAACATCCTTATTTGGTGGTGGTGCATTGGGTTAGGTTCTGGGGAGCTAAAAGTCAATAGTTGGAACTTAAGAGCCTCTCTGTGGGAGGACCACGAGGCAGTTGGCTCCTGTAAGATGTAAGGCTAGGAAACCCTAGGGAGCACTTGTGCCCTGTCCTATAGGGGTGCTAATGTCTGAATCAGCCCCACGTTTGTTTATCTGTGAAGAGAGTGTGTTTGTGTCAAAGGTTTGGATTCCAGAGTCACACTGCCCTGGGTTTCTCACTACATATGGCTTACTTAGTTTGCTCGTTTGAACTAAGGTTCCTGGTTCTTTTAGTGTCGTGTTAGTTCGGGTTGACTAGAGAAACAAATTCATAGACACTTGAGATAGTTTATTGTGCCAGCCTGGCCAATAAACACAAGTGGGATTAACTGAAGGGCAGAGAGATAAATGGCTTGGTGAGCCTC